GTTCTGATTAATAAATATATGTATGAATATCCAGCTGGTCAGAACTCATTGATTTGTATGAGAAAACACATGTGAAATGCAAAATACTCAGTTAAAGCCACTGTTATAGTCATTTTAATTAGTTATCTATTTTAAATTTCCATAACTATAAAATTCACAATTTCCTCAGCTATATTTTGAACCATAGTTTGTAAAAATCGAGCAAAAAATAAGGAAGTTATTAGAGTTTTTCATCAGGAAGACACCTCACTGTCCATTGACATCCATTCATTTTGTTGAGGCTCCTCAATGCACAACAGAGCTCCAGCGCGTGCAAGTAGCTTAGCAACGCGCTAGCCACGTCCAATCAGGTAATATATGGAACAAACTGAGAAGAAAAGGACGATATTTCAGCAAAGGTGAYCGGTTCGGACCTACCGTAGAGCACTCAGGATCAGCTGGTACTCTGAGTACCTCTCTTTAAGGATGACCATCTCTTCCGGGTCCACGGGCGGAGGATATTTAATTCGCCCTACTTTGGACTTGGCCACAGGGTCGTGTCGGGACTTTCGGCCACGAACAGCCTCCACGAGCACGGCGCTCCTCGGCGCGAGGAGCCGGGATGCCTGGACGCTCCGCCTGCTGATTACCTGAAACATGTCGGCGTTGAAAAGTGGGAACAGCCAGGTGTTTATTATTCTTCGGTGAGCTCAACTCTTAGTGTAATTATGAAAATAGGACAGTTACACGGCAGACATTTTTAATGACCCCTGACCTGCGGAAGTAAAAGTAAAAGCGGATGTGACGTCACTCCTCGGTGCTGCCATCTGTCGGTTTGTTGCACATTTTATTTGTTTGAYGGTATTTTATAGCCTGGTTGAAACCAGACCCTGTCCTTCACTTTGCTTCGTAAAGGGTCTGGACTTTTCTTTTTCATCCAAATTTTATTAAAACAAAGGATAAATATACAACAAAGGAAAGAATGAAGCATAAATAACACAGCACTTACATAAACAAAACAAAACAACCAGGGGTATTAAACCAATATATGCAAAGACTCACATGTAGAGATCGTCTTAAGGACCTTTTCATTGGAAGAGTCTGATATTGATTGAACATATATTTCCACATCCTTGATAAAATGAATAAAACAAAGCATTTTATTACTAAATTTACATTTGTGAATGTAAAACTTAGCCAAAATGATTAACAAGTTTATCATAAAAAGCATTTAGCGTCCTTTCAGGGGAACCTAGAAAAACAAAACAATTTCCCAATGTAAAGAAAATTCCTTCAAAATATGTTTTATTTTATTTTACATG